CATACACACATACAGACACACAGACATACAGACATACAGACATACAGACATACAGACATTTTGCTTTGCTTTGCTGGCTTTCAGAGGTCGTACGCAGCTTAATTACTTGCAGAAGCTCGCCACTGCACGAAAGGCAGCGACAAAGCGTGCTTCCAGAAGCTCTCCGGAGCCTCTATACTAGGGGTGCCGCCCTGTATCGCAGCATCCCAGCAGCTCCGAAGTTCAACCGGCACGCACGGCCAGTAAGACTGGGCCACAACTGCTTTGGCCACCGTCCCACTAGTACGCTCCCAAGCAGTTTCCCAAGAGGCGCCTAGACAACATGGAACGGTTTCCTGGGTCCTGTGACCAGGGTTTGACTTGCTGACTACCTCGGCCCAATCGATTTGATCGAGAGTGACCTGAAAGTCATGGAGAGTATCGACACTGGCCGCCTCAGTCGCATCTTCCTCTCCTGTGGGCCAGGGAAGTTGGTGGAAGTCCTCCACCACCTTGCACAGCACATCGAACACCTCCTTCGTCCAGTACTCATTCTCCCCCGACATGTAGACCTGCCTAATCTCTCCTCCAACATGGACCACCACATCCACCATTTCATGGAAATACAGTGGAAACCCGGCCATGACACCGTGGAAGACCTTCAGCATGTCTGCCTCGTCGTCCGGAAGCGTAGAAACCAGGAGGGCATCACAAAGCGCCTTGTGTGCATCCTCGACAACCCCATCCCAGGATTGGTCCTTGGTATTCTCGAGGGGTACAGCTTGGCTCTCCGGCACTGCCAACGAGAAATCCTCGATCTGAAGCGCCCGCCAGCGCTTGCTGCCGATGCCCGGAGCCGTCTCCGTTGCAACCAATCCGTGTTCCACAAGTGTTTCCACACAAAGTGGGGAGTCGCGTAGGTGAATGGCCAGCTTTGTCCTAGACCAGTATTGACGGCCACATGCTCGGCAAAGTGTGCCTTCGACGCACTGTCGATACCGGGCTCTACGACCATGCACTTTGAAGAAATGCGCTCCAAGGGCGCCCTTGCTGCGCACCGTCTTTGAGCACATTCGGCAACGCCAACCGCTCACTTGCTGGCATGGCCGTAGGGCGTTTCGTATCGCCCTCTTGTACAGAGCCCAGAGAGCAAGGCATGCCCTTTGCTCTTTGCAGAAACGCTCAAAGTCATTTCGAACTCGCCGTTGGGCTTGCCTCTTAATCCATGGTCCACGCTCTTTGAAAAGGTGCACCCATTCTGGCCAATGTAGAACTCCTCTTTCTGGCCAATCGCCTTTGGCCTCACACAGCCACTCAAGGTCAGCTCTCACCGTCGCCAGCCATCGTTGGTCCGTCTGTAGCATTGCCCATAATTCCACTGGCGCTGCCTTCGCCAAAGATGAGAGCAGACTGAGGCGGGCCTTTTTCGCCAAAAGGGCCATCCCCGGGATCCCCGTGAGCATGTGAACCACTGGGCCAACCAACTTAAACAAGGCTGAACCTGGGAAGGACTTAGCCAGCAAGCCCCGGACAAGCCTGGTGTAGCCTGCTTCCAAGGATCTCCAGCCCTGTCCCTCCGGCACCCACAAACCGAGATTGAAGAAGGAGGCCGTAATGGTGGATTGAAAGAGCTCCGCCCGCACCTGGATGGGAATTGTCTCGTTGTTGTAGATCAGCTTGTTGCCCGCCACAAAGGAGGACTTGGCGATGGCCACTCGCCTCCTCGCCTCGGGTTGCAGCGTCATTGCTGTGTCCACGAATCCCCCGAGGTGCACATACTGTGCAGCAATGGGGACCCGAAGGTCAAGGTCCTTAAGGTGGACAAATTTCTGCCCCCCTGGGAACCATCTCTTCCTCGTCTGCTTCGCGCCCGGTCCCCTCAGTGCCAATAGCAGGGCCGTCTTGCCCGGCTTCAAATTTGGCTTCATTCCATGCCGTTCACAGAAGTCAACGACAAGAGAGCACAGTCTGGCTGTTTTAGCCATCAGGACTTCTGCGCTGCCATCGGCAAGGGGGAAAGAAGCGTCGTCCGCCCACGTGCTGTCTGAGGCCTCCAGCTTGTCACCCGAGGGCTCCTCAACAAAAGGGCCCCCTTCTAGATTCAGCCGGAGCTCTGTAAGCAAACCTTCGCCTGAGGCCATCTCGTGGATCCGGGCCAGAATTCTTCCCAGCACAAATGCAAAAACCAGGTCCGCCCATGCTTCCCCTGGCCGGGATCCAGCAAAGGTAGCCACAACTTCATTTGGCCCACCATACCGCGTAGTAAACCATGAGTTGTACATGACGTCCTTTGCATGGTGCCTCAAGGGGCCGGGCAGGCCCGCCTGTTCCATAGCACCGCCATTCTCGACCTCCTCCATAAACTCCCGCACCTCCGCAGGCTCAATCTGGAAGTAGTCAAAAACGCGACACACCGTCGAGTCAGCTTCGATGTGGCCAACCGAGAGCTCTCTGATGACTCGCTAATATGCTGACTGTATGTCGAGGAACAGGACGGAGCATGACATGTGTCTGTCTTTCCCGTGTCTCAAGTGCCCCTGCACATACAGGGCAGGAAACGTCACGGGAGCATGACGTCGGGCTCCCAAATGAAAGCTATATATGCAAAGCCCTGGCTGCATAAGGCATAGCTCGATTTCTGAGGAGTCGATGGTAGCTCTTCCCCAAATGAGAGGAAATAAAAATGGGGCGGTAGGAATCCGGCGAAGCCTGCGAGCCACTCCTTTTCCACATCTCATGGAGCAGCCCCCCCCTCCATTGCAAGGGCTGATGGAAGAAGGCGGCCGCTTTGACCATCAAGGGATGTGCCAACTTGGCCATCCTTGTCGGCGACACAGCCAATATTTCAGGCGGTATGCCGTCAAGCCCGGGTGCTTTGCGTCGGCTTGTGGATCGAAAAACATCTTCCACCTCAAAGAAGGAAGGAAGGTCGTGGACAGACCACGTCAAGTCATCATCTACATTGGGCAGCCGGGTATCACGCGCCAGAAGGTCAGCAATGGGCACAACCGCTCCAAACTCCTGCTTGCCAAAGTGTTGTTGCCACACTTTGTCCCGGTCCTTCCACGTTTCCGTAGCCTTTCCGTTCTCATCCAGGAGGATGGGCAAGGGCCTGACAAACTCCTTGGCGGACTTGCCCCCGAGCCCCAGCTTCTTAGCGGTCTTCAAGATGTCCCCCGCTTTGTCGCCCACAGTAGTCGCGAGCCCCTTGAGGAAGTCCGCCTTCTCCTTGTAGATGTTCTTCTTGATCCGCATGGTGGCAAAACGCACAGCCGCAGAGACCACTTCGTAGAGCAGCCCATGGCGGCCAACCAAGGCCTCGACTTCATAGTCTTCCTGACATCGCCATTGCCAGAAAGCTCTCACCACCAGATCAGACCACAACTTCGATCTTCCTCTTGAACAAGACTTGAGCCACAGTTTCCTCTCACGGATTCTCCAAGTCTCCTCGGAGATGTATTGGGCTCGTGGCCCATGGCTGGCCTTGTTGAAAAGGCGCTCCATGGTAGCATGGAGGAAGTCTTGCAGGTGTTGACAGTGGTCACCGGGGTGCACCTCCCAACGCGGCTGCTGGTAGCTCTGGAGCGCCTCATTCAAGAGCCGTTTGCCCGCAATCGTCAGGATCTTTTCCGTGTCGTAGGCTGGCCTCCAGACCCTTCCACTACCTTCTCCTCGACCTCCTCCAGGTAGTAGACCCTTAACATCCAGGCAGACCGGATAATGGTCATCGTTGGCGTTCATTGTGTCAAAGAGGTGCTCCACCCAGCTTCTGAGACCAAAAGTTTCAGCCGCCCCACCTAAGACAATATAATCTATCCGATGGTCAGCTCCATTGGCCTGGCGATAAGTAGCACTTTCGCCCACGTGGAGTCTACGGAAGGTAGAGGGGAACCAAAGCTGAACCGCCCTCGCCAACCCCAAAGCCAATTCACCATTCTTGTCGGGATCGCCATAAGGGAGATCACCAGTCACCTGACTTATTCCAAGGGGAACCCTGCCATTGAAGTCGATGCCACCCAAGATGAGAGCGCTGCGTCGGAGGGGCCTGAGACATGGGTAGCCACAAAGCTCTCTGCCTCCGCTGGCCGACCGGCATGAGGACAATGGCCAGCAAGGAGGACCACATTCCAGCCCTGGACGTCAACAACCACAATGAGCAACCTCGGCGACTCGTGCACCACCCGGACATTGGATTCCTCCACGACGCAAGGTCCGCCATCCAGCAGAAAGATTCCACGCTGCCTGCTCAGCCAGATGGCTGTCCCCCAATGCCTCTGCCCCGCGGTGGACAGACGCAAGAAGGAGGCACTCTTGACCACCCCGGCTTGGCCCTTGGCTTGCTGGAAAAAGGCCACATTGACCTGCAGCTCATCCAGTTGCTCCTCGTAGAATCGATGCTTGCCGGTGAGGCTCTGCGCATTGAGCGTAAATGCCCGCAGCCTGACTTCACCCTTCTTGCCTTCTGGCACCCCTGACTCTGGTTTAGTCGGCACTAGCTGATCTTTCCTCAGCGTGGCTGAGGCTCTCGGCTGTTCTGGGTTCCACTGTAAGCAGTTTCTGAAGAAGGGGAGGGAGGGCTCCCTGAGGTTGCTGACAGCCACTGCAGCCAATGACCAATCCGTGTCCTGAAAGATGCGGCAGACCGCTTCCGGCGGTCTAGGAAGACTCAGGACGCCTTCAGAAACTCTCTTCGCCAGCACGTCCACGAATTCATTGTAAGGATGTCCGACGTGCGCAGCCACATGGTGGAAAACCGGTGGAGGTGCATAGATCTCCTGCAGCAGCAACTCCAATGCATGGGTCTGCTGGGCAAAGCGGTTGGGAGCAGCCCATGCACCCGTAGTTGCCCACCCCGCCGTCACACAGTCGAAATGTACATGGGCTCCTCCCAGCTGAAGAAAGCCAGCACCCTGCAGCAGCCAAAGCAGAGAGACAGCCAAAGCTATCTGTTCGTTCTGCAATGCAGGTGGCGCGTTTCCTTGCACTTGATCTCCCAGAACCCCAAACAAGGCCGTGGCCGTGGAGGTGCATAGGAGTATCGCCACGGCGTAGCCACCCACCTGCTTAGCACTGTTCCACGATCCATCTGTGTAGATGTGGGCCGTCGGCTTTTCCCCCGGCTTCAGCGCATTCAGCAAGTCGCTCCAGTGGGTGAGCTGGTGAAAGGCCTCCACCGTACTGGGCTGCCAACTTGTCTCGCCCAAGTCAAAATTAAGCCAATCTGGAGCCCAAGGGCGGAGTAGCTCCCGAAGATTTTCCTCTCCATGAGGAAGATCCACCGTCACGGCATTCATGTCATACGTCGGTGGGCCGAGGTGTTCGTAAAGGCTGACCTCCTTTACCACAACATCTCCTCGACCTCCTTGCATAGGGTGCAAGCAAGTAACCTGAACCGCAGCCTCAGGCGTTCGCTCCGGGCTGCCACGTGGACTCCTGCTCCTCCCACGTCGTACTGGCTCGGGGCGAGGAGGACCAAATGGCCCTGGCCCCCTTGGTGGGCTTCCACTTGAAAATTCAGAAGAGCCAGGTAGGGGATCACGAGGCGAGCTTGATGAATCATCATCTGTGTCCCCTTCATCTTCGGCTTCATCTCCCGAGGGGGTCAATTCTGCTGTGCGCCTCAACGAGACTTCGAGCAACTCCCCGTCCTCGACCCGCAAAGTGGTGGGGCTGCTGCTGCGGGTGCCTCCCTGTACAACAAGGGAGTACCCCTGGATGTATTCAACTTGGATGTCCTCCAAGTACGCTCCGACATCAAAGGAGTGTCCTCGCACCGCCACCCACTGCACCCAACCACCAATGCCGCGCATGTCGACCATGACAAACTTGAAGGTGCCGCGCGGGTAGGTAGAGCTCGGCACCACAGCTATGATGGAGTGAAGACGTTTTCCATTCCAATAAAGCCTGTGCGGCCTTTGGGTGGGTGCTCGCAGCCAGAAGGAACTCGCCGGCCGATCGAAAGCCGCACTAGCCACCTCAATCGGGTCCCTTTCTCCCTGCCTGTTGATGAGGTGAAGATGCTGCTCCAATTCACTTTGGAAGCCAATGTACTTGCCATCCGCATGCGGTGGGTGGTCTGTGCTAGGTCGCCATCTGTCCGGATCCATAAAGCGATCCCGGATGGGCGACGGCCAATCAACCACCGCCCCCCTCTGAAGCAACTTCACCACTCCGCAGTGCTGGCCTGGGACATGGTTGTCCCCTAACAACGGATGAAGGGCTCCAAAGGGAAAGATGTCGACATCCTCATCAATGCATTCCGCACGTCGGAGGATTGCAAAGCGCGTCACTGGTCCCTCAAAGTATGTGGCAAACAGTCCACCTCCCACGGCGGTGCCATCAATGAGAATGACGATCCGCTCCGATCCATCCAGCCATCTAGGCAAGATGAGCACTGTCCCGAAATCCTCATGGATCTGCTGCTCCGTAAACACTGCCTCATCCATCCATTCCCTGTCCAAGACATAGGCCGACTCCAGGATAAACTCCAGAAGCCTTTCTTCGTTCAACGGGAACTCCATGGCGAGGTCCAGGGACTCACTCTCAAAAGCCGGCGAGAGCAGCCTAAAGGAGATGTGATGGGTCACCTCGCCGTTTGGGTCGGACGGTCCACCCATTGCCATTGCTCAGCTGGATCTCCAGGAACGTCATGGACGTCTGGAGGAGGCTGCGGCTCAACTGTAGGCGGACCATCTGCATGCACCCTGCTTGGAAGCACTCCTCCACTATGCAGAGGAGCATCCAACACGGTTCGCTGCTCCGCTGCCGCTAGCTGCTCCCTCATAGTCATAAGGCCAGAGCTCCAAAGCTCGATCTCGGAAGAACCTGGGATGCTCCGGCTCGTGCCCTGGCCCCTCACTGGGACCGCTCCAGCTTGCTGCTGGAAGACCGCAAAGGCCAACAAGGGCCATACCCAGCTGGCACGCCCACGCCCAGACTGAGTGCCCGCGAAAGGGCGCTTCCAAATCCCCTGCCACACAAGGGTGCCTCCCAAGATGAAGAAGCAAATAACCTGTAAGGTTGCCAGGCATCCGGCCCAAAAGGGTGCAGTCTCCGCTGCAAACCCAAGGAACGCATCACCAAGGAAGGTCCAAACACTGTCCGTCACATCTATGATGTCATAGTACCTGGTTGCATCCACGCTCCAGGTCTCCACATGGAACACCTCATCAAGGGAGGTCCAAAAATTGTTCATCACATCCATGATGTCATAGTACCTGGTGGCATCCACGCTCCAGGTCTCGTAATGGGCGGACACACCGAAAAAGCCGCACTCAACAACACAATCTCCGTCAGGTAGTCCAGGGACAGACCGAAAAAGCCCTGGTATACAACCGCCCTGCTCCTGGCCCGTATCTACCGTCACTCGACAACGGAGTCCGCATCGGCCTGGGCTCCCAAGCTCGCCACCATCACCTCCTCGTCCGAGAGGTCTAGGCTTTCTGTGGCAACATGTCGCTTCGCCTCCAACTTCTTCGCCAGCATACTCCCCGGAGCAGGTCTCGGCAGGGGCGCCCTTCCAATTGTCTTCAAAGGCATACGCTGCATCCTGGCTCTCCCTGTGGACGGAGGCGTGGCCGCCGCATCCTCCGGCGGCGGGTAGGGGTCGTTCAATGCCGTCGGCTCCTCCGCTACGGGAGGGCTCCCGCCTGTCTTGGTCGCCTCTGCAAGCATAGCCTCCAACATGGGCGCTGACGTAGTTCTGGAGGGGGCCTTCGTCGGGGGAGGCGTTCTCGGGGTTCCCATGGTGGTGCGCGGCCTCTGCGGAGTAACCGGAGCCGCTGCCATCATAGCATGGAGCCGGGTTTTCATCGAGGCAGCAAGGGACTGTGCTAGGGTCTCGTCCGAAGTCTCCTCGCAAGCCCTCAGCAGGTCGTTCCACTCCGAGACACCCTCGCCATCCTCCATGGGCTCGTCCTCTTCCTGCAGGAACTTGTCGGGGTTCGCGATGGCCTCCTGCAAGGCTTTGAAAGCCACGATCTGCGCATCCTGGTTGTCCCGCATGTCCTGCTCGATCCTCTCGACGTCCCGGCGATAGTTTGCCCGTTCTTTGACAAAGGTGGCCTGCATTTCTTCCTGGAACTTCCTCCAGGCCTTTTCCGCTGCCTCTTTCTCCTCCACCGACTTCCTCATTCTGATCTCCGCCTTTCTTGCGACTGTCAGAAGTTTCTGGTAGCCCTTGGCAAGCGGCTGCTGCTGCAACCCCTCTTGCCGAGAAGATGCAGCCGGAGGCTCTGGGCCCTCTGCTTTCAACGCACTGTACGACGGGAAAGTAGAGTCCTCTCTCGCTTGGCTCCTCTGCCCAGCAGGCCACCGCCATTGCGACGATTGTCCATGCTGCCATGTGGATCTTCCTCCTTTGGCTCTTTGATCTCCTCCTCCTCTTGGGCCGCTCTTGCTCTTCTGTTCGGCTTTCCATGGAGCCCGTTCCTGGCCGCTCCAACCCATGAGCTCCCTGTAAGCCGGGAAGCTGTGATGTCCAGCAAGGAGACGTAGGCTCCTGCACGAAGGCCGTGTCCCAGCGCGCCTGCAGCGGTGGATATGGGCCCGAGCTCTGCTCCGCCGTCGGCGCGCAGTGCGATGCCAAGTCGGAGATCTTGCGATGGCTCCCAGCCACGGCACGCGTGCCTACGAAGATGGCACTGGGGTTGCCAGCTATTTCGGTGGTCCTTGCCACCGACTCGATCCAGAACCCTACATACAGACATACAGACATACAGACATACAGACATACAGACATACAGACATACAGACATACATACACATATCTATAGAGATAGACAGAGTGGGTGTGTGGGTGTGTGGGTGTATTCGTTAGGACAGCCCTTCAACAAACATGGCCCTGGAAACAGCAAAAAACCTATACCCTACAAGCCCTAAACCCTAGCGGCCCAATACCCACAACGTCAGGCCAAGATCCTCGAGCCCGAAACCCAAAAATCCCGAACACTACACTTCCTACACCCCTCAAGCCCTGTTTGAGTTGACCAGTAGCCCCTCCAAACCTCGTAGGGAACCCTACGACTTGGCTTTGTTGGGCAACGTCTAGGAGAGCCGAATACCTTCGTTCTGGTGTTTTTGCAATCCACGGAGGTTACAACACAACAGACCTCGAAACCTCTTACTACTTAGCCAGGTCCTAGACTCCTAGGCAACCGAGCAATCGGCTCAACCACGAGCTGCCCTCCGCGTGCTCGAGCGGTTGCTTCAAAAGGCCCCTGAAGCCGATTCAATGCCTCTCCACGCCACCTTCAAACCGTTAACCGGGTTCCCAAAAACAACCTAAACCCCGCAACCCCCACAGTAAGCTGATAGAAGCCTACAACAGAACCCTAAACCCTAAACCTACATAAACCTCTGTAGAACCCCAAAAAAGGTGGACCCTCCAGCTCCTTCGACGACATGATAGCCCAGGTCCAGGCATTGCTTGGGGCACGCAGGGGGCTTTTGGGGGTTTTAGGCCTCGTGCTTACGGCTTAGAGTTTAGAGCTACGGCTTTAGGGAACTGACTTGGTCGCTGGTAGGGGGGCGATCTCGGGTGAAAGGTTTCGGGGCTTGAGGTGTAGTTCTTGCAGTTCTTGCTTTTCGCTGTAGTTTTGGAGGCAATTAAGCCTAAACCCTCCCTCGACCCTATGACCCTCAAAACCACTAGCATTCTGGGGTGGGGTGTGGGCCTCGGGGCTGGCGGCCGAAGGCACAGAGTCTGGCTTCGGGTTTGGGCTCTGCTGGGCAGGGGCTCATAGTTTGGGCCTTTTCTACGCAACCTTTCTATGCTGATCAGACCCCATCATACAAACCCTAAACCCCTAAACCCTAAACCCTAAACCCTAAACCCTAAACCCTAAACCCTAAACCCTAAACCCTAAACCCTAAACCCTAAACCCTAAACCCAACCCCGATGAGACAGCCTAAGGGCTTCGGGTTTTTCTGGGATGGCTATAGTCGGCTTGAGCCCTGCAGCATCAGAGCTTCCCCGCGTGGTTCGTCCGAGACTTGGCTTCCGGCACCAAGACTTGGTTATGGGGGTTTAGGGTTTAGGGTTTAGAGTTTAGGGTTTAGGGGTTAAGGGTTTAGTGTTTAGGGTTTAAGCACTTCTCGGCTCTCATACTTGGGGTTCATGGGTAGTTATAAGTGGGGTTATAAGTCCCCTA